CGATGATACAGCTTCAAATGCCGGTCAAGCTGGCGTCGGCATTGTTTTGAGTCCCCGGCCTGAAGCTGCCCTGATTGATTGGATCCCAGTAAACAGTCGGATGTACGCCGTTAGATCAGATGGTTCATTCCGTGCTACGAAGTCGCGCGGGGACAAACGGTGCCTGTTTGTCATTGCAACCTACGCCCCTACCAACTGTAGCACTGATTCAGTAAAAGATGATTTCTATCAGCAACTTCACGAGTTCCTTTGTTACAGAAGAAGCACGGATACTGTGGTATTGGCTGGCGATCTAAACGCCTAAGTCGGAAAATTGTCCTCTGATGAGCTTCATCTGGGCGGCCAACATGGTGTAGGCTCCCGTAATGATAACGGTGTGCTATTGCTACAACTGTGTGAAGATACTCGCCTCTTTCTCGAGAGCACTAACTTTCGACACAGCGCTCGCAGAAGCGTGACTTGGCGGCCATCAGCCTCGGGCCAGCCATGGACGCAAATCGATCATATAGCGACCGATTATCGCTGGAGAGGCTGTGTCCAAAACTGTCGCTTGATTTCGAGCACGAGCGTGGACTCTGATCACGCACTTGTCTGTGTCGACTTCCTGGTGCCTTTCGGTGGACGTCCGCAACGTCGATGTGGACGGATTGACACCAGGCAGCTGGCGAAGCCAGATGTTCTAAATGTGTACCAAAGTGCGCTGACATCTGGACTGAGTAAGCGCCCACTAAACACCGTTGAAGATCACTGGTCGCATATTCGTCAAGCGTTGCTGTTAGCAAGCAAGTCTTCATGTGTCAAAGCAAATGCCCAAACCGCACAATGGGTCTCTACACAGTCTCTGGAACTTATTTATGCTCGCCGACCAATTCCGGCTGGGAGCGAATACAATGAGGCTCGCAAAAACAGGGCAAACCTATGTGCTAGCCTGAAGAAGGACCGCGAAACCTGGTGGTCTCATCGTGCCTCTGAGATGGAAACCGTCGCTGCCGTTGGTAATCATCGTAAGTTATTCCGTCTGATACGGGAAACAGGCAGCAGGAAACCTGGTGTTAGCAAGACCATACACGACGAGAGTGGGCAGCTGATCCATAGCATGTCAAAACGCTTGGAGCGTTGGGCTGAACACTTTGCAAGGCAATTTAACCAACCTGAGTTATCGCTTTCTTCTTCAGGCATTGAGCGCCCTTCTCTCTGGGCCGTCTCCTTCGATCCACCCTCACGCGCAGAAGTCGAACGTAAGATCAGGCTGTTGAAATTGCATAAGGCCGCAGGGACAGATAGAATTCCCCCAGCCCTCTTCAAATTCGGTGGACCTGCTCTAGTAGATGATTTACACGAGTTGCTAGTAAAACGTTGGGAGCAGGAGACAGTCCCGATAGAGTGGAACCGCTCCGTCATAGTCCCAATTTTCAAGGAAAACTCCCGTTTGGAATGCGGCAATCATAGAGGGATCAGTCTGATTTCGATTGCCTCTAAATTGCTTGCCTCTGTCATTCTCCACAGACTGACTGGCACGCGTGAAAGCCAGATTAGTGCAGAGCAAAGCTGCATTTCGTCGAGGTCGAGGCTGCATCTACCACATCTTCACCTTGCGTCAAGTGTTGGAGCACCGCCATGTTTATTGGCGACCCACCGTTGTCGTGTTTCTTGACATAAAAGGTGCCTTCGACTCAGTTGATCGATGTGCCCTTTGGGACTGTTTGCTGAGGAAAGGTGTGCCTGATAAATATGTAAACATTATCAAGCGCTGTACGCACATAGTTCGGGCAGGGTGTGGGTTTATGGCAAACTGTCGCCACCCTTCATTATCACCAGCGGTGTGAGACAAGGATGTCCGCTGTCACCTATCCTCTTCAACTTCGCTATTGATGAAATCATGGAAACAGTGTTCGCTGGACACGATCTAGAAGGTGTGGAGCAACTTCCTGGTGAGCGACTTCTTGACTTAGAGTATGCGGACGATATTGCCCCAATCTGTGACAGCTCCCAAACATGTCAAACAGCACTGGACCGATTAGCACTGGCTGTCAATCGTTTTGGGCTATGCTTTGCTCCATCGAAATGCAAAGCACTTCTCAAGATTGGCAGGGACCCAACCCTGCGCTAACACTTGGTGGTGATCTGCTAGAAGTCGTTCAGGAATTCAAGCACCTGGGCAGCTATATTGGCGCCCGTGGGATTGAAGATGAGGTTACGAACCGTATAGCAAAAGCTCGAGGTGCTTTTGCCAATCTCCGCCACCTTTGGCGCAGACGCGACATTACTCTCGCCCTGAAGGGTAGAGTTTACAACGCAGCCGTCCGTTCAGCTCTCCTATATGACTGTGAAACCTGGCCCATCAGGTCGACAGACATAAAGAGACTCGTCATATTCGATCATCGCTGCCTTCGCAGCTTAGCTCGTGTCTGGTGGGAGCACCGCGTGAGCAATGAGCGTGTTCGACGTTGTGTATTTGGTGCAGGAAGAGCGAGTGAACCGCTCAGCACCATTATATCACGCACTAGGCTCCGATGGCAGGGCCACGTGTTGCGCATGCCAGCACACCGACTCCCGCGACGTGCATTGTTTGCGCGTTGTGGGTGCGGTTGGAAGAAGAGGAGGGGAGGCCAAGTGATGACTTGGTCGAGAGAAATGAAAATCCCCACTTCGAAGTTGGCCTCGGTTCGTGAACCCCGACTGCCTGGATGGGGTCCTAAGGACGATGTACACGTTTGGTTGGGCACACTTGTTGATATGGCTAGGAGCAGGCACCATTGGCGTTTGTGTTGTGATTTCCTTTGTCCATCCCCCTCCTGCTTAGCATCCCCCTCCAATCACGATCTCACTTGTTGGGCATAATATGACTCTCTTTTAAGGCAGCTAGCTGTTAGCTCTCCGGAACGATGTCCATCCGTTACTGGGGACTCAGCGGGCGTGCCACTGTTTGTTTTCCTTCTCTTGTCTTTTGTATTGCGGCACAATAGCTGAGGTGTTTTCCACCTCCAGCTAACGTGTAATGATGATGATGATGATGATGATGATGATGATGATGATGATGATGATGATGATGATGATGATGATGATGATGATGATGATGATGATGATGATGATGATGATGATGATGATGATGATGATGATGATGATGATGATGATGATGATGATGATGATGATGATGATGATGATGATGATGATGATGATGATGATGATGATGATGATGATGATGATGATGATGATGATGATGATGATGATGATGATGATGATGATGATGATGATGATGATGATGATGATGATGATGATGATGATGATGATGATGATGATGATGATGATGATGATGATGATGATGATGATGATGATGATGATGATGATGATGATGATGATGATGATGATGATGATGATGATGATGATGATGATGATGATGATGATGATGATGATGATGATGATGATGATGATGATGATGATGATGATGATGATGATGATGATGATGATGATGATGATGATGATGATGATGATGATGATGATGATGATGATGATGATGATGATGATGATGATGATGATGATGATGATGATGATGATGATGATGATGATGATGATGATGATGATGATGATGATGATGATGATGATGATGATGATGATGATGATGATGATGATGATGATGATGATGATGATGATGATGATGATGATGATGATGATGATGATGATGATGATGATGATGATGATGATGATGATGATGATGATGATGATGATGATGCGTAGGCAGCGATGATGAATAGACACCTTTTAGTCCCGTGCGGCTTGGAAACTTTGAACGAGCCAGCCAATCGGACCGCGCATATCCCGCTACTAATTGGAATCCAATCATCCAGAGGAGCTTCAGCCCGCGGACTCAAGGCAATGCCAACACCAGTTTGGCCGGTGCTCGAGGCTGCATCCTCACGGGATAATCGCAATGAGAAAATACTGCTGTGCCACCTGAAGGCGAGCGCAGAGTGAGCACAGAGCTCGGGTCTTGCAGGCGGGTCTCCGATAAGCAGCAGATGTCGATCGAGAGCATCTCTAATATTCGGACAAGTGCCGCCTGTTGACCGATCTGTAGCAATCTGCGTCCACTCAGGCTTGCCAATCTGAAGGAGGATCGTGGGCTCCAAATGGGAGCCGATGAACTGGAGTGGACCGCTTGGTTAGGCATGGGCTTGTCTACAGGGCAGGGATGACGCTCCGCGTTGGCATGTGAGTTGAAACTAGAAGATAAATGCTTAGCAAAGCATGTTGGGGGGAGGGCCAAGCATCGGGGACTTGAAAACTGGGGGGATAAAGTGAATTTGGAACGGGACCATAAGGGAGAAAATGCGTAAGAGGGGGTAAGAAGACGGGAGGGCCTGAGCAGTAGCATCCAAACCACTATCCACCCTGCTCGATGCAGCAGATAGGGCACCGTTGATTATCATTCGCGGTGGCCAGAGCTTCAGGAATTTCTTTGAAGAAAGATTCATTGTATTGTATGGTCAGCATAATGTCAGGTTGCCCAGGCCTAGACAGGAGAACGATTAGGGTTCTCAACCAAAGCCTTTGCTTCAAAACCCTTACCGCAAGTCAGCGGGTTTGGCGTTGGGCTATAAGCAGTCCGTTTTAAGAAATAAGTGCCACCCTCATTCCAGCCCCCAACCTAGAGGACCAGGTGGCTGAGTTTGTCTGGCCTCTCAGCATGGACCAATGTGGTATGAGTGGCACTGAAGGTGCAAAAGAAGCACCACCCAGCATAGCTCAATAGATCATTGAGGCACACAAATTATCGCACTAGGGTAAGGTCCAGCCTCATTGCCATGGAAATGCCATACAAGGTACTCGGTAGCAAGGTAGTGCGTCGCATAACATGGTAATTTGCGGAGCACTCTTTGTTCACTGACTTTCTACATACCATAACTGTCCCCACAGTTCGCTGCATAACATTTGGTCTATTGAGTGCTGTGATGTTATGTGATGTTGTGTGATGTTATCATCAATTTGGTAAATTTCTTTAGCTTCTTCGTCACCACTTCTTAAACTGGAGACAAACGGTTGTTGCAACGCGAATCCAGGTGGCAACCTTTGCGGAACGGCGGCAATGTCGTCTGAAACGTTCTACATTTCGAGGCTGGCGAAGTTGGTCGGTTGAAGCTCGACTGGAGAGAGAGTTAGAGAAGGCCAAGGAGTTCGCCAGAGAATTGGAGAGGTAACAGCTTCTTGACAATGCCGGCCTGTACACATTCTCCTCCATATTGATTGCTTCCACTGCTCTCATCAAATTACTGTATGATCCTATCAAGTTTATTGCTAGTGCCATCCATTTTGTGGCGAGAAGCACATATTCAGCAGACAAAAAGTCAAATAGCACTTGGTTACTTGGTGTTACTTATACCGAATTTCCGACTGATTAGCTAGCCGAGTATAGAATGTACACCTGTAGACCATTCTCTCTGCGACTAGCCCATCATAGTCATGCAGGGGAAGTGAAGTCTCGGGAGTCAACTGGTTATCACAAGGCATTGCCAGTGCCACCAATCACCTGGAGCACAGTGACCCGTTTGGAAGACTGCTAATCGGTTTATCACATCAAACCAACAAATCAACACGCAGCTCAGAATTTTGGAAACAACAGAGTAGAGCCAAGGGCGCAGGTGTGTGGACCCTAAAACACATACTATAGCCGTTATGAGGAATGGGTGAAGTTTCACCAACATCACATGATTTACAGAAATGTACCTTCATTAAGTGTTCTCACATCGCAGAACAGCAACCGGATCAACCATAGACTTATCATGATGTTTCGTGTACCTTTCTGTCTCTCTGCTGTATATTGTGTGTTGCTCAAGGGTGCTGGAATTGTTGACCTGGTCAGGCAAACTCAGTCTGCTGTGCCCCCACGTTGAAGGCTGGAACTGAGGTAACGCCCGGTTTTTGAAACTAGTCTAATTTAGGCACTGTTTTCATTTTCATACTGTCACGATTCGCATCAGTGCTAGGAGGGTACGGTTTCTCGAGCGCAGACCAACGAAACTCCTGAATCGTGGTCGCTCACTCATCTGTCCCAAAGACCAGAACTAGCAGAGCCCAAGGTCAAACCCAGTTGATGCCCAAAGGTCAGATTGCAACACAGGGAAGGTATTGATCAACAGACTAGTGTTGATTTGAAATCAGCTCTCACGACCGATAAAGCTGCAACTAGTGCAGTTTGTACAGGGAAATTAAAACTCACGACTGGGTCATGTTTTCGGACTCCAGTTTGCCGCGTACTCGCCTTGTTTGTTCTTTCTTACTGGGGATCTGCCTACACACAGTGTCCCACTCGTCAGCCAGAGTTGAAAGTCACCACAGCTATTGTATCGCAACACGTTGCCGTTCCATAAGCGTTAGGGAAGCAAGGAGCAAGAGCAATAAAACGAAACAATACAAAGGCGACCAGCAATATCATACTTTTTCTTATTATTATGCGTCGGTGTTGAGAACGCAATTGGAGGGAGAGCCTAAGCGGATGTCTAACGAACAAAGAAACTCACAACCGCAACTACATTGAGGTAGCTTTATCGCCGTGACAACGAGGGGCTCCAAACAAGTATGTTCGTCTTCTTTCAGACCCCAACCAGGTATTTGGGACGATCCATCAAAGCCAACTTCAATAATCTAATCGGCTGGTCTCTTCTTCCCCACAAACCCTAGTCGTACAAACAATATACTTCGCGCATGTTGGTGGGCTGACATGGGTGACACGTGACCTAGCCCTCGGAACCTGGCGCGTGAAATAACGGAGTTGAACGTTCCAATTGCTCTTCGCGCGCCATGAACAAGACGGTGAACGCGCTCATTACTGACGCAGTGCACAACCACGTGCTGCTTGGCGCAGTTGTGAGGTTCCAAAGATTAGGGCTATGTCATTGAAGTACTCCAGGTCGAGAAGTCGTTAATCTGAGAACAGCTCCACACCTGATTCATTTCCAGCGAACGGTTTTAATGACTTCGTCAATACAGGATTTTAAAAAAAGAAATGACAAAGCGCATTCTTATTTCAAGCGGATGGAGATATTGAAGGGCAGTGACTGATTACTATAAGCCTTCACTCTACCCAAACTATGTTCGTAGTGCTCTAATGACACGCCTTTCTTGATCAAACAGTCCCAAAGCGCGCCTCCATCCACCGAATCGTGGATACCTTTTGATGTCAAGGAACACGATTAGGGTGTATTGCCAATATAAATCGTGGTGCTCCAGTAACTGACAGGAAGTGACGATGTGCCCGGTGCAACCTGGATTTCGGCAAAATCCGTTTCACATTCGCCAGTAAGTCTGTGGGGAATGACATAGGCAGGGAACTTAGAAGCAATGTGCATCAAACCGATCCCGTTATGATTGCCGCATTGCGAAGGTGAATCTCCCTTGAATATAACGACAACAGCGGAGCAGCTCCAGTCGGTTGAAACAGTTTCCTACTCCCGTAATATTAATGGTAAATAGTGTGAATTATCTGCACCAGAAGGTCCGTCGAATTTGGACAGGTCTTGAGGAAGTCCATCTGACCCTGCAACCTTCAGTAACTTCAACCGTCTCATCTCACTTTCATACGCATTCAGTATATCCGGTAGCAACAGTTGGCGAGTATATTCCCACCCGGAGTTAGGCACATAAGGGTGTGGTCAGAGTGACAATTTTGTACGTGGCTTCTCCAACAGTAACTGATAACGATGTATTCAGTTTACTCCCATGGCTTGTCCAAAGCTTATGGGCGCTATGTCACCCTACTGCGGGTGCTGTGTCGGGATTTAGAGCTCACGAGAGATAGACGAGCATCTTCACACAAATGTAACAACCGTTCATATATATAACTACAGGAGCCCACACCCAGTTGATCGCCCAGATGCAGCTCATTGGTGGAAACATTTACAAATTGCGCCACCAGTATATTTTCCGTGCTACTTATATGACGAAGGAACACGTTCATATAATCGTTGAGATCATCTCTCACCGATTCCGCGCTGCGGTTTGTGAGGTTGTAGGCTGTAGTGTCGGCATGACGCGAGGCTGTAACAACCCGACAGGGAGAGCACCAGCAAACAGGAAATCGACTTCCGCAAGTGGAATGACAAAGGGTTCTCACACACTAATATTGACTCTAAGGAAACAACATAACCGGTGCTGGCTTTACATACTATGTTGATCAAGGTTACAGAGTGAGTTTCGTTCAGAAGTTTCGATCACTCGGAACCGGCCATTCGAATTGTCTAATCGACATCGGCTAGTCAAGTTGGCTCTGAGCCGTAAGGGTAACCTTCCTGGGAAAATATCATTTTTCCCCGACTGCTCCCTCTTTGAGTTCACTAGTACGTGCGAACTGCTAGGTTCAGTTGCAACAGGCCTTGTGGTCGATGAACTCGGTCGGATCGTTTGAGCCTTAACGATCCACAAGCAGCTGAGTTCGGCGGCGGTTTTTCGAGGAATTTCGAACGTTTCTAACATCATTTCTAAAGAAACACTCGGTTGTTGGAAAGGTTGGATATCTGGGCTAGTGTGTATTGTTAGTAGCTGATGTTAATCAAGAACCCAAATATCGTCACCGACTTGAATGTCAAACATTTCCGTTCCCCTTTTTCCTTCGATAACGATGTTTATACAGTTAGAGTATCCAGGTTTATAATCATGGGCCTGCATGGTTTCTCCAATACGAAATCTGGGTAGATGAGTTTCCGCTAGGGCAAAACTTTATTTTTAGAACGGATACCATAAGCTTGGGATCCAAGAGCAACTTGGATAAGGTCCGGTTTCCAGCAATGACTTTGTTAGGAGCTGCTCGAAGTACCGGTCTTTTCGGACGAACTGTCGGCCACGCGTCAGGTTTTAACTGCAGTGTCACAAAACCGTTAGAGCAACAACCAATATCATCTCGAAAAGGCATCAGGGAGTTGCCCGGACAGCTCACTGGACAAGTGCATTTGCCACTAAGGAGTGAATGCTGCTACAAATGTCGTTAATCGGCATAGCTGTAGGACTAGCGTGGTTAATCCAATCCAAACCCAGGAGGTACAAAGTGGATTGTGACACAATCAAGTAAGGTCGATGTGTGACGTCCGAAGTGAAACTGAACACGGTATTTGGCCGATCAGTTTGACTCTGCCGCCGGAAGCGCTGGTCTCGACATGGGGGACCTGCCAATTGCCTTCCAAAGTTGGGAAGAAATCCTGGTGATGTCCTGGGATGTGCCCCTCTGAAGCCGAACTGGATACCCGTTGAAAGGAAGACATACACACTACCTCTGAGATGCAACATCAACTTTGAAGGTGGCCAAAAAATCTAATGGTTTCCAGACAGCTTTGGGCCCTGAATGTCTCTTCGCAGTATAAGGTGTACGTGTCTGTTTGCATCGACATAACCCATCCTTATGATAAATGTTGGAACCTGTGGGACACTTGTGATTTTTGAACGGGTAACTTCTTGCCAAATGCCCGGCACCACAATTCCAGCAGGCAGACAATGGCTTCCGGTGTATTACATACTTTGTTGGACTTTAAGGGATATGTTGGTTGGAGTCAACACTATTAAATGCAGTGAGAGTTAGCCCATTCTGCTGAATCATCGGGATATCATACTTCACACTTACGAGGCCCAAATATTCAATGGTCCACTGCTGCAAAGTGATACTTTCATTTCGTTGTAATTTGTGCAGTAGCCGAGTGCGAATTTCCTTGTCTTTAGATGACATCAAACCAAGAAAAATATAAGTCACTTTTAACTGGTCTATCGTGAGGGATGACGAATCGGAACGTTCACACTGTGAAATAAAAATACCAACATAAGTAACTATGTCATCGCAGTCATTGCGAGCCAGGTTCATGCCATCGAAGCGTACATTGAACAATGAAGTGTGGTCACCGAAAACCATAGACAAAACACTCACTGTTTCACTAAAGCTGCATGATCTGGGAAGTTTGGCCAAAATGAACTTGTTCCGCTGGTCCAAGTTTCTGTATCAAAACTAGTACACACCAGGAGTCTCCCTGGTTAGCAAAACTAATGCGGAGCAGCACTTCATAACGGTTGAACCAGGATTAGAAAGTGATGCCAGCAGCAGTATTGTACTGAAACTCTGCGATGATATTCACAAACCTTTTGACTGTTTGCGATCCAAATGACGAAGTGGACTTCCTGAAGCACTTATACAACAGGGCTTTTAGCAGTTGTTTCAAA